AGGGAACAAACATAATAAGGAGTTGAAATTTGGGAAATGTTCCGATTTTCGAGCATCAAACTCAGTTCATCCACACCGGAACTTTTCAAAAACACCGAACGAGAAGAAAATGCAACAAGTCAAGCTCTGTAGCTCAACCCAGAGCGGATTCAACAAGGACGAAGGTAAAATGGCGAAAAAAAAAATTAACGAACGAAGAAACAGCAGCAGCAGAAGTGCGTACCAGGTGAATTCAAACACAGAAGAGAAAAACCAGCTCAAAGCTCTGAGTCGTCGAGTGGCAGAACTCGTTGTTTTTCAAATGAGGCCAAGGCTTTTCGCGATCTTTTTCCCGCTGAAAATGGCGTCGATTGCGTTGAGGAAGAAGAAAAAATGATCATTGGGTGCGTGTGCACGATGGGATGGGTTTTGAAAAAGGGGCAGAAAATCTTTGGACTGCATCAACAATGTCAAATAAGAGAGAGAGAGAGAGAGAGAGAGAGAGAGAGAGAGAGTTTTTTAATTATTATTATTTTTAATTTTAATTTTTTCTTCTGGATTGTGCATAAAAATGCATTATTAAGGTTGTGATTGAATATGGATTTGGGTGTTTTGATTTTTTTTTTTGTTTTTTGTTTTAAGTATAATTAATTTTATAAAAAAGTGGTATAGTTATTTATTAATGGGACGAATAGCTTTGCACGTTTCGTAATTTTATGTGTCAAAATATTATGCTGAGCCTAAGTGAGAGCATCTACAATGCTCTGAGTTCAATCTCAAAAAATTATATGACACCTAATAAATAGACATAGTCTAAAAAAATTTATTCTCCAATGCAAATAAAAGTAGGCTGGGTCATGCTGATGTGGCAGTCAGAAAAAGAGATCCGGTCTACCCTTAAGTCTATTTTAGACCCAAGCAGAGACCTAGTCTCTTTGCATTGGAATGAGTTTTGTTAATTTTACATAGTTTTATCCATGTCATTCAAGACTTTGGTTTATTTACGTGCCACATATATAAGACTAGACCCAATGCATTGTAGATGCCCTGATAGCTCTTATGTGGCAAAATATTATAAGTGATAGTTTTGCACGTTTCATAATCTTATGTGACAAAATATTACGATTTATAATGTGACTTGGATAAAAATTACTAATTTTTTATACCAAGTAGCTTAGATTTGGATTGTTATATATATACATATTTAACATATTTAACATATCTCATATAAATCTATATATTATCTTTTTTTTTTTCTTTTATATACTGTGTTAATAATCTTACTTTCCATATTTAGTGTTTATCCATATTATTCTCGTATGTGCTTTAAAAAAAATACCATAAATAAAATGATGGTATATATAAATTTGTTTCTATAATTTAAAATAGTATTGTCAATTAACTTAGTTCTTTATTGTAAACTGTTATATATTTTTCCTTATTTATTTTTTCAACTTCAACAAAATATTTTATTTTCATTTGTTGGTATACACTTAATTATTTTATCAACCATTCGTGTATTACACGACTATTGTATTAGTTTATTTTTAAAGTAGAATAATATTTAAAATAACGTACTTAATGTTGATTTGATGTAAAATGAGGACAAATATGATTTGAAAAAAATGATGTTAGTTCAAATTATGTGAGTGAATGAATAGTAAATTAAAGTTGATATGATGTATACAAATAATTGATTGATATCATTTAATTATATTGATAGAATTGAGGGTAGTTGTGTTGAACTATATTTGGATTTTTATTGGTTTTTTCTAGTTAAGTTTATATTCAATCACACCTTAAGCTTATTTAATTGATAAGCTTCTCTATTTTAAATAATTAAAAAAAGTTTATCTTATATATTTCATTAGTATCTTTTACATAAAAAATGTGTTAAGAAATCTTATTTCAGCCAATTTATTAATTAATTTTTATCACACACTTGTATTATATTAATTGTTTGTTTAATCATCTGTAATGATATAGTCACGGCTAGTACTGCCGACTCGACTGGTAGCATCTGATATAGCATGTCATACCCGACCGATTTTTTATAGATATATATTGAAGAATACGCCTATAAATGGGCTAAGATACTTGATATGATAATATGGGCCAAGCCCAACTTTGGCCAAACCCAACTTGGACTATAAGAGCATCTCCAATGGTACATGGATTACTCTCTTCCATTGCCACATAACCTCCAAAACTTAATGTGGCATTCAATAATTCTAGAAGTCTTTCTAAATGTAGAAAGACTTCTAGACATCTTCCATTTTATATTATATTATTTATTTTATATTTATATTTCTACCAACCAATTATTATATTACACGTGTCAAATTATCCCACAATTGAGATTAACCATTGGAGACAAAATAATTTTATTTCCTTTCTCCACACCATACATCTTAAAATAGACATTGAGCCATTAGAGATGCTCTAAGGTACACTCCCCCTATAAAATGGGGCTAAGATACTCATTTCATTCATTCTCTCCTCATTCCATCACTACACTCTCTCTCTCTACACTCTCTCCCTACTCTCTCTCTCTCTATGCATTCTCATATGAATCCAGTACTGATTTAAGCATCGGAGGCCCAAAGCCGGGCACCCCTCCATGGGTCCCGGACTTTGGGTTCTTGCAGGTACGGTGGCCGTCCGAGTCGAGAGAGCCCGGGTGACATCTTTGTCCTATCATGTAATATATGAACTATAAATTAATTTTTACTTAATTCATTAACTGCAACTACTTCAAAGTTTGCTAATGGCTTGTTCAAAGGCAAAAGAAGATTCTTATGGAAAAACAATTTAGAATCAACAGAGAATGCACGCTATAAGGCTCGTAATACGTTAGATGGTTTAAAATGGCACGGACACATTTGTCCACATTGTCCCTGCCAGGAGAAACCATTGTTAGGATAACTTTTTTCAGTCAAAAGAGAATGCCCGAAGCAAAAGGATAACCTAAAGAAGAAGAAAAAAATTCAAAAAGAATTCCCCAAAAATAAAACAACCGGATACCTATCATGATAATGGTAGGGACAAGATAAAAAGAGAAATATTCTCTTTTGAGAAAACAAAAACAAAAAAAGACGAAAGTTCGAGTCATAAAGAGAGACACCGGGGAAGCAACATGGACCACCATGTGAAGAAAGAAGTCACTTTTAATAAAGAACCTGGACCCAAGAGCATGTGAATACATCTAAGCATCTACCACCCGTCGGTGCAAGCAATAATAAAGGGTTTCAACCCTCTATAAAAGGTTATTTGGAGGAAGCAGAAGGCATCGTTGATTCTCTTAAACTTTCTCACTGTAATAAAACTAGTGTTGATACTCGTGCGATGCACGGGTGTACTATAAATTATAATTTTTATTATTCAAGTATTGTAAAATTATTAAAGATAATATGCTAATTCTATCCAATACAATATATAAATTTTATTTGGATATTTTTTATTTATTTATTTTTGTAGGTGTTAACTATTTAATATATAAATTTTACTATTTATAATTTATAAAATATTATAAATATCTAAGATTTTAAATATAATATTGGTATATAAATTACTTACATATACTTATAAAATTACTGATTACCTTGATTTTATAACTACTTTTTAACGTTTCATATTTTGTATAATGCTCGATGATGTTTGTATATTACTTTTAGATGCATGAAATATTTTTTTTAATTATATTTAAATTGTAGTAACTCTATCATTTATGCAATGAAATTTCTTCGTATTAAACTGTTTATTTTTATTTCTAAATTTTTGTCTATATATATATTTTTTTTTTTACCATTTTTCAACATATACAATAAGTGTATTAATATCCAATTTAAATATTTAGATAATATTGACCGCATTATCATGTTTACTCATTTCTCTTTATTACATAGTATATAAAAAAATTATACTTCTTTTACTACTTAAGTCTTTTCTTATATATATATCTTATAGATATTTTTAATGTGAACCTTATAATTCTTAATTTCACTTGACCATCAATAATAATTTTATTTATATATTAAATTTAATTTTTCAATAATAGACAAAATACAAATGATATATTTAACGGAGATGTACTTTTTTTATGGTTACGTTGATTACATTTTAATAAATTTTATTGATAATGTAAATTATTCATTAAGTTAATATGATTCAAACACAAATATTCTGGTTATTTGTTATATATGTTAAGTGTTTCTAAGGTGAACATAATTAAAAATATAATAACTATCAATGATGAGATGGAGATGATAATATAATAATCAAATCAATTTTCATAATTAGAATGATTAATTAACTTTTTCTATTGTGTCAACGAATTACTAAAATATTAAAATTATATTCTTACTGAAATATATATATATATATATATATATAATCAATTGATGTTATATATAAGCCAATTTATAACTATTGGGTATTAGTCAATGAGTAAACAAAAAATAATTAATGCTCATATAAAATTTGCTAACAGACAAAGGTTAATTATATGCTCAACTTAAAATATTTTCCCGCTCAAAACTATGCCAATTATAGTAACAAAGATTGGTCCATTATACAGATATAGATATAGATATAGATTCTTGTAATAGTTTGAAATAGGTTGAGTGTTAAAAATTGTAATTTTATTTTCCAAAAATTTTATGTGTGTTTTTATCTATGCCTCTATTATGAGAGGCTAAAAGTAATTTCTCCTCTCTAAAGGAGATTACTTAATGTAATATAAATCTCTTTGAGTTCATAATAAAAAAGGGGCTTTTTCTTTACATCATGTTGTCATAATTTTCATTTATCTCCATAATTAAGTTCCCATACGCCTGGAGTAGGTAAACGAACCAAGGTTGTGTTGAGTGGTGTCCAGAGGAGTCGGATAACTTGTAGTCCATCTTCCCATTGGTGAAGTTAGAAGATGAGGAGCTTTCTGTGAGACGAAGAAGGTGCACTAATTTTTTTACTAGTTGAATTGCAACTAGGGGCACCCGTGCTTTTGGTTTTTGTGTTTTGTGTGTTCTATCTGTCGTAGAAGAGTGCGTGTTCTCCCGTTGGAGAGTGTGTTTATCCCGTAGGGGAAAAAGTATTCTCTTGTTGGGGAGTTTTTTCTCCTTTTGTGGAGTTTGTTAGTTTTTTCTGTTGTTCGTGGGTGCATTTGTTCTTGTGTTGGTTCTAGGCGATGATTTGAATTTGTCCTCACAATAGATTCAACTTTTTCCCCTTTTGTGGAGTTTGTTAGCTTTTCTTGTTGTTCGTGGGTGCGTTTGTTCTTGTGTTTGTTCTAGGCGATCATTTTGATCTGTCCTCACACTAGATTCAACTTTTGAGCTGTCTTTTTCAGCTTTTGGTTGTTTTCTAGATGTATGTATGTTGTTTTTCTATGAAATTTCTATCTTTCGGAAAAAAAAAAAGAATTGCAACACATCTCACCGGACCCATTTCAGTATTCTAGAAGTCGCTAGACACCATCTAAGCGCTCGACCAGCGCCGGCGTCTAGGCGGAGTCTGAAAATCAAGATTAAATACCTTATTTTTTTTTTTGTTTATTTTTAATATTTACAAAATAAAACTATCTCAACTTATAATAAATCAACACAGCTAAGTCCAAATAATAATATTAGTATACTAGTACAACACCCGTGTATTACACGGGTGCTTGCTAATTTATTTTTCTTAAAATCTAAAATTAATGAGAAAAAGTAGTTTGAAAATTTAAATACCTTTTATAATAATATATATTATTATATATTTATTATGACACTTTTTATTTGTGCAACCTACTTGTGTTATATTATATAATTTTTTTTAACTTACAATATATAACTACATTACATATAGATATATCAATTGAGAAATAATTTTATTTTCCTAATGAATTTTGATAAATATTATTATTTTTTATTATTATAAAGATAAATATAATTTATTTATTTCATATATACAATATGGATGTCAAATCGAAGATCATCAAAAGATGATTAATTTGATATATTATATATGTAAAACCGATAAGAAATACAAAAGTTATCAAATTTTAAAATACATTTATAATTTAATAGCTTATTGAAGGAAACAAATCAAAATTCAGGGATATATTAGTCACTTAGTGCCTCACTATGTAAAATTACAAATAATTAAAGGGTTATATTAGTAAAAGTGATATTAAAATACCTAAGTTAGCTAAATAATATTTATGGAATACCCAAACCTAGATTATTAATTATTAATATATCAATATTATTTATCCAAACCTAATTACGAAGCATGATTCTTCGCCAAATAAGATTCCGAAGCACCAGAAGCAGCCACGTAGGCTCAGCGCATTCTGCAATTATATATAGGGAGGATTATAAAAAATACATGATAACAAAATAATGTAATTAGTATTTAAACATTTAAAAAAAATGAAAAATTTCCGCCAACCCGCCTAGGCGCCGCCAAACCGTCTGGCCGCCGAGCCCGATTTTTTCAGCCTATTTATGCAAATCGGAGGCGGCCGAGCACCGCCTAGCACCTAGGCGCCGCCTAGGCCGACTTTTAGAACAGAGCTTGACTATTGTTCCTTTTGTTGATTGAACTGTTGTAAATTTAGTAATCTCCTGCTACTATAACATTAATCTTTACTTTTGGAAAGCAGGAACCATACCACAGTGGTTTCTGAACCAAAGTCAAAGAAGAAACCCAAAAAAGCAAAGTTTGGATCTTTGAAGAAGGTAGTTCTGGTTTCTAAATCTGTCTCTCTTAAGGAAGAATCTTCAGTAGATACAATGTCCATAGACGATATTTTAATCCATGACGAGTTGATTACCTCCTCGAAATGCTTTATCCCTTCCTTGCCTCAGGAAAAGAGACATATACTGAGAGGATGATAATGAGCCAAGGAGAAGGAAGCACACAAAGTTGAAAGCTTCAGAACTGGGTAACATTTTCATGTATCCAAAACCGTCTAGCAAACGTTCTCGATCAACTTGAATTCATTGACCTGTATCAAACAGAATATCAAATATCAGCCTTCATAAATGAAGCAGATTGTAGGATGAATTTTTTTTTTTCTGTGAATGTAATAGGAACCAAAATAGATAGTACTAAGTGAGAAAATGAGTAAATGTGGGTCACAATGTAATACGTGATGCTGGTTACCGTGCATCCCAATAAATCAGATGAAAATGTAGAACCTCATTGTATAGCTATCGTATACCAACTATTTCAAACATGAAATAATTTTTGGACCAACATTTATGTTTGGAGCTGGTAAAGTTTTCATGAACAAATACTTCACATTGTGGACGGACCTGATCCTTTAGACATAGAGATAACTCTTTATGTAATTGGGATTATCAAAGCACTTCACTATTTGATTTACTTCCAGCAAATAGTTTGGAAAATGATACACAAATGCTATATTGATAAGTAAAATATATAATTATCGAAGAACCAACTGCAATGAATAGCATCATTGTGCTTGAGCATGAATATGAAAGTGACAAACAGAAATAAAGCTCGCGTGTTCATCAGGAACTTGCGCTATCTCCCGCAGCTGCATCATTAAAAAAATTAATAAATAATAATAATTAGGGTCACTACAAGTTAAATGATAAATAATCATACTCTATAGCAGAAAAAAAAATAAAAATAATGGCATCCATAATTAAAGGTACAGAACAGTGAACCAGTTTATAGCAAAATACATGTACTTTCCTTTCATAAGAGATTATAGTACCACCTTTCACATCGGCAAGTGTTTTAGGGGTGACCTGCGAAGACACATGCTCTAAAGTAACAACAGTTTGTTTCAAAGAAAACCAAAATCAGATGATCTATCTCTTACCTCCATTCAATACTCATTCTTGTTTTTGATCACAGACATAAAAGTTATAAATAAAAAAGAACACAGTTTGTTACAGACTTGAGCTAGGTGACAAGTATCAAGTATATAAGATAAAAAAGAAAAACCGATTGCTGGTTGGAAAGGATACTCAAATCAACAACAGCACCCGAGTTATCTGAGGTGGCCACAAAGACATATTCTTTGCCCTGAAAGAAGAAAACACAATAAGAACTGATAACATGTCTCGTTTAGTAATGCTTGATTGATATTGTGTCCCAGAGTAAATATGTAGTGGTGTTGTACCCCAACCACAGCACTTATTTAGAGAGCTAGACCTGTGATAACAGTGCATCAAGCTTCCCACTGTTCTTCAAAAAAGGAAAGGCAAAACAGAAAATTGATACAGTAATTCACAGTAATTAAAAGGTCTGCATGCCAATCATAAAAGTTATAAAAATAATTGGAAGGGCTAGATTGTACCAAAAAATAGCCATACAATTACATGAGATTAATAATACTACTAATATAATTTTTTAAGAGAAAATGTACCAAATGCTGATTTAAAATAGGATATGGAAAAGCACATCAGCCTTCACAAAATAATAGATAACATTACAGTAAAAAAATTCACTAAAACACCCCACGAAGGAATAGTTGAATATCACACAATACCATCCATCTTTGCTAGTGTTTCCTTTGGATGGAAGTGGCTTGAAATCTTCAACAACAAGACGAGGGTATTGGCTCTGGAAATTGCAACGAATTACAGATTAATGATGTCAAATGTTTTTGACTGGATTATGGAAGTGCTAATTTTACAATTGCCATGCACACACACTCATGCACAAACACAGAGCTACTCAGACTGGATTATGGAAGTGCTAATTTTACAATTGCCATGCACACACACTCATGCACAAACACAGAGCTACTCAGACCTGGTTAAATGTGTGAATGTCAATATTTGACTTGGCATACTTTTCAACAATCTGCAAACTGCAACCAGGGAAGAAAAAATTAGCTGAATATGTTAGATGTTGAAATCCGGTCTAGTTTACAGAAATTACCTTTAATGTATCATCATGAGTGTAAAATGAGTTCACTAAAAGCAGCGACACATTGCACCCATACTTGGCATTGAGTGTCTGCAGATAAACGGATATTAATGTTGCATGGAACTTTGGGTAAACCATAAAGGAGATATTTTAGAGCATGCAGTACCTCAATCTGAATTATGATTAAATCAAGAAACGTAAGACCATTACGAACTTCAACAACAGACCTGCATCATAAAAACATATATTAAAGGTAATATTAAAACAGCATAACTGGACACGCTTATGATTTATGAAATAAATACAATTACTCAAATCACTGTTTCCACTCAGATACTAGTTTAGCAGACTATCAGTGGATGGGGATGACTCAGGTTCCAATACCCGGTAAATTCAAAATGATTAACAGGTCAAGTTGAATCAATTTATTTATGAATAGTAGGACAAGCCATATACAACTATTCCACATCAACAATAATGAAGAAGGCATGAGCACACGACTTCCTGCAATCACTTCTTAACTTCTGAGTAAAATGATCATGAGCTATAAAACAAGTTGGGTCTCAGGTAAATAAGCATCACCATAAAGGTTGACATTAATTCAGTTTAGGAGCTCAACAAATAATACTGCTACACAGAATACCACTAATAAATATACCGAGAAATGAAATTTTGAAAGAAAGAGAAACATTTTTCACTTAAAAAAGTGTGCCATATTAAAATAAAAAATGCTCCCGGAAATATGACATATTCAAGTATTAATCAATTGACAATAGAGTTTTATGTGTTCCTTTGTTTGCCAATGTATTACAACTTTGGTAATCACTGCTGGTAATCAACGCCAAGGTCATCAACACCCTCTTACAAATATTGTTTGTATTAACAGCCAGTATACACTTCTGAATGACATATAAATACAAGACCAAGCAACAATTTATTGGTTAAAACGAAGCAAAACCATCAGATTAATCAAAATTAAGAGGTACGTATATGAAAACACATACTTTGGTCCAGTACAGCCCATTGTAGTTCCCAAGCCTCCATTGAGCTTTAACACCACAAGTTTGTCCAGAAGCTTTTTGGTCTCAGCAGCATCTGTATTAAAATTAACATAATTAACGCCAAAATCACAGCACAGTATCTTAAGATGAAACTCAAATCAGACAATGACTTTTCAACACTCAAATTATTGATTAATTCATAAAGAAGCAAAAACAAGAATCTAAATCGGTAAACAACAAAATAAAAGATCAGAGATGCCACCTTCAGGTACAGGGGCCAGGGTATCATAAGGCACCACAACCTCATCAGTTGGTGTCTGGATCTTACTCCATTCTACATGCTGAGCTTCTCCACTTCAAGTCCAACCACAAAACAATTCATAACTAATCTATTTTAAGAAAATAAAAAATTTATCGACAGGTTGCGGGCACAGCATGGAACCGGGACAAGTAGTTTTTGGTACCGGCCCATTGCTTCTGCCAAGTCGGTTTTGGGCCCATATATATAGGTCCGCCAACCCGCTGGATTGGGTCTGAAACGGGCGGCCCAGGCTGTTTGGCCATGCCTAAATACACTATTAGTACTAGATGACTTTATAAGATGCACCCTCGGATCGCTCCATACCAAAACTTGATGATAATTATAAATATTGGGCAGTCTACGAAAGAATTGGCAAAAATGTGAAGAGTATTTACCAATTCTAATATGGTAATTTGATCTTCCCCCACCTTTAAAGGATAACACTTGAACTGTCTTTATAGTAATTGCAGAAATCCCAGACTCATTGGATATTCAGATATTCTTAATCACTGTTAAAAGAACTCATGCATACATTTCAGTTTGGCACTTCATTTCTCTTCAAATGGGTGGAGAAAACATACTCTCAGAAAAGAAAAAAAAAACAAAATAAAAGCAAAACACATTGTTCTCCAAATAATTCCGAACCTAGGCACTTTTTCTTCAATTGCTGAGCATCCTAAACTTTCAAATTCTCCTCCCCTTTAAAATTATTCTCTAATTCACCTCTTATATTCATGGACCTCAACAGAAGCAAAACAGTAAGTCTCATTTCCTTCTCCGCATCAATGCCTCGCAGACCCTAACAGCATCCCTAGTATCCCTCACATTGTGCACCCTCACAATATTCGCACCCCCAAAAACCCCAGCTGCCACACAAGCCACGGTAGCAGCATCCCGCTGTGCCGCGTTTGGCTGGCTGCAAATCTCACCCAAGAACCTCTTCCTCGAAACCCCTAACAACAAGGGCACACGTGACACGGCCAACCTCCATTTCCCAATCTCACCCCTGATATCCTTCAACCCATTAACTATATCCAAATTCTGCTCCGTATTTTTTGAGAATCCGATCCCAGGGTCCACAATCATCCTCCAGGCTGGCAGTCCGGATAACTCGGCCTCCCCAGCGCCCGCGCACAGTTCGCGTGCCACGTCAACGCACACATCACCATAGGTCAGGTTCTCGCTGTTCTGCATTGTAGATGGGTCCCCTCGCATGTGCATGGCGACGTACGGAATTTTGAGGCCCGCCACCACTTTAAGCATGTCGGAGTCTAATCTCCCGCCCGAGACGTCGTTCACGATATCAGCCCCATGTTTGGCTGCTTCCAAGGCGACTTCTGAGTAAAAGGTGTCGACTGATATCAGCTTTCCCTCAATTTCAGGCAAATCCCTGATGGCATCCAGAACCGGGATCAGACGACTCAGTTCCTGCTCAGGAGATAGCTTTTCTGCCATGGGCCGCGTGGATTGCGCGCCTATATCGATTATATCTGCACCGTCAGACAACATCGACCGAGCTCGATCGACGGCCGATGTCACGTCAAGGAATTTGCCCCCGTCGCTAAAGCTGTCGGGGGTAACATTGAGAACACCCATGACCCATGTTTTTCCAGACCAATCCCGTAATTCACCCGCGACTGGCAAAACCCTCCTCATTCCACCTGGGCCCACGTTGGATTCCCCGCCCATTTTCTCCCACGCCTCGAAAATCCCGCCTGAAAAACCCGACGCGTCGTGCCAAAATCCGACCACGTCATTCTCCATGTCGTGGCCCAATACATCGGTCAAGGGGCCCAGCACGAAAGGCCTCTCCCAGATTCTCTCATGTGGGATCCTGAGTGTGTCTGTGTCGACAGTTTGGTCCCCGTAGAAGAGGATGTCTAGGTCGATCGGGCGGGGTCCGTACCTGATGCCAGCCGTCCGGCCCATTTCTCGTTCGATCTCTTTGAGGGTTTCTAAGAGCTTTTGCGGGCTGAGCTTTGTGTTAGCCCGAACGGCAGAGTTGAGGAAACGGGGTTGGTCGATTACGTAGGCGGGCTCCGTCTCATATAAACAGCCGTGTCTAGTTATTTGGATGCCGGATTTTCTCATGCGCTCTAAGGCGTGTTCAAAGTTTCGAATCCGGTTTCCGACATTGCTTCCAAGGGCAATGACGACTTCTTCCTCTTTGGAGTTGACTTCGACCATGCTTTCATGAATTGAACGAGAAATACAGAAGCTTGCGCCTGTGAAGGAATAGAAACATGAGAGAAATTACAGTTTTTGGTCTGCAACACAAATTCAATTCTCAACTTGAATATTGCAAACTAGAAGAAGCATAAGTTGAATGGTTTAAAAACACTAAAGCATCAATCCCTTTTATTGCAAGTGATTACGAACAATTATAATTGAATTTATCGTGCAGGCTGAGTTTTATAAAATTGAGACGAGTAAATTTGAACTTCTGAAGAACAATAAAAAATAGTTTGATTCTTGTTTTCTGCTTCAGGCTTATACATTCCTTGAGCAAAAGAAAGACAAAAAATTTTCAGATCAATTCACCACTATTAAAAACCCATGAAATTCACATTATAGAATCCAGTTCATCTGGACCTTATTAATAACAAATTGAAAATTTATTCACACACAAACACATCAACAGTAGACAATTGTAAAGAAAGGTGTATCTACATATTTGGCACTAATCACCACAGAGGACCAAGCAAGGAGACAATGAATCGAAACACAACTCATCCTCACAGCTGCATGCGGTTGAAAATACAAATTCATTAATATAAGATTATGCAAAACACGAAATCACCTTTACATGAATTCTTAGCTGTCCTTGCCCCATGCTTAATTGACAGCAGCTGTTTGATGAAATTCATCCAAGATTGGTTTTTCAACAAGATCCGATGTTCAATAACCGCTAATATGTCAAGCCCACCTGATTATGCACAAACACTGAGCTCCATAACTACACAGAAATAGAAAAGGACTGCCTATTGAGACAAATTACATATTTGTAGATGTAAGACAACAAATACCATTAAAAGAGAACATGTCATCCAAGAACTATGCAGAAAAAGTATTCCCACAAAAAGGAAGGAGATGATGGGAAGGTATACAGTGGACTGTAGAGCAATGAACAGAGGCAAGCCTGCAATTAGGATACCTACTACCTAGGGGCAACTTTGTGAAAAACAAGGTTGAAGACTTCGATATCTTTTTCTAAATATTAAAATAAAATCCATATGGATGAAAATCAAAATTATCTACTCCTTCAAGCATTTGCTCTGTCCCCTAAAACCCCAGTGCTGAAATTTCTGGGTTTTTCAAGAAAATCTCAATCCATGGTTTCATTGTCTTTTACACAGTTTTCTTTGGTGCCCAGGTTCATCTTCTCCATTGGTTTACCATTCTACATATATTTATGCCGAGATATCAGCTTGTCTTTATCGCTTCGATTAAAAGTTTGCATTAAGGTTAAATTTGAGCATGTAACTAGAAAAGGAATACTCGTTCAGTTAAAGCCTGCTTTATAATGAATTTCAGGAAAAGTTTGTAATAAAAGGAAAAGATAAGTGATTCACATTTCTCCGAGAAGTGTGAATCACTTTATCCGAGTTTTTCTTCAACCTGCATTTCTCAGAGGAGTTTGAGCATGGGAAGGAACTAACATTTAAGTCCAACCTGCATATTCTGCCCAAACAAACAGTAACAAACATCTAAAAACTTGGTAAATCTTTAGTCTTGAACCAATACACAAACACACAGAATAGTAGATTTCGAGTCACGGTTTATAACGCCAATTGACATCCGAAAAATCGTAGAACAAAAGGACATCTAGCGATAGGCTCTGTGAGTGAGGTCGATTTCATTACAAATAGTGGAGAAATCAGAAAATCAAATGACTCACAACAAGAACAATCATACGAATCATAATGGATCTTCGAAGGAACAAAACAACATCATAAAGGCTTGTGCAAGCTAAGGAACAAAATTGAGTGTTCGAATGAGAAGAACTTACTTGAGAACCATGGCTGGAGATGTAAGTCAGCTAGCCGCGCTTTGTTGTTTTCTGGATTTTGCTTGAAACACTAAAACCCCTGTAGAGACATATAATGCTCCAGAAATGAAACCCCACGACGTCGTATGCAACGTCGACCTGCGCCCATTTATATTTGGGCTGGCTAACAAACAAAACTATTTGTATTGAGGAAATTACTTCCTCCACTTAAACAATATGAAAATATTCATTATAATTATTTACAAATTAATGAATTTTGTTATATTTATTTACATATATGCCTAAAAAGTTGATTTTTTGTTTACATCACAAATTCTCATTCCTATTTATATAGTAACTTCTCATCAATTACGTCTCTCTCATCTCCCCTTCTCTTTCTCTTCGCCATGTCTCTCTCTTCTTCACACAAAACACGCGCGCGTTGCTTTCTAAATATGGACCGAGGGGCGAGGCGGAGAATACAATTCTTTTGTTCTAACGGGTTTATTTTTTATTTTTCTTTTCTTTCTCCTTAATTCTGAAAGTAATGATAAGGGATAGGGTTTCGGACTCTGCACACAATTAGTTGAAGCTTTGTTCTTATATAGAAAGTGAGGTGATTGCCGTAGATAATCTGTCGGCGCCGGCGCTCGATGATATAGTAACGGGGAAGATAAAGGGGGTGATTGTTTATGGTTTGAACAGTAAAAAAACCAATAAAAATTCAAATTTAACTCAACTTCATTATCTCCTATATTATTAATATAGTTAAATAATATCTACCAATCATTTTTACACATCACATCAACTTTAATTCACTATTCATCCACTCACATGATTTTAACTAACCATCACTTCCAATCATTTTTTCTTACTTTTACATCAAATCAACTTTAATTATTTTAATTTAAATATTATTTTAACATATCCACTAACAACTAACCATAACACTTTTTTTCAAAACTAACTCTAGTTAAAAACAAACCAAATAAAAACTAGTAGAATCCATAAACAATCACCCCCAAAGTGTTTGCAAACATTGCCTTTTGTTTGAGACAAATCCAAGACCATGATTGAAGTTTGGATGAAAAACTTCTCAGAGGATAATTGTCGGACACTTGATATACTTGATTCGTTGATAGATAGTTTTCATTTTGTACATGTTGCGGGTATATGTTGTGTATATATGGAGTATATGTTCAGTATATGTTTTTTATAATAGAAGATTTATTGTCGAAAACTTGATGTGCTTGATTTGTTGATAGCTAGTTTTCATTTTGTATATGTTGCGGATTTATGTTGTGTGTATATGGAGTATATGTTTAGTATATGTTCTGTAGTTAGAAGATTTTTTTGTATAGGGATATAAGTAACCTGTTATAATATGTTTATAAACTATATATATATATATACCTTTATGTATAAAAATAAAATAAAATAAAAAAGAACACATAATTTTTTGATGGAAAACATATTTTTTATTGCAATATATACTGAAAATGTATATTAATATAAACGCAATATATACCACCCGACGGCTACGTGAATTACAATACATGTCCTTATTACAATATAAAAGTATCCTGAATGTTTTTTTTTTTTTTTTTTCAAAAACGTTCCAACAATAACAAAAATTGTGGACCCATCCTTTAACATATGCACCGAGCCTAAATAACTGGAAGACAAATCCCGATCTAAAAATATACATCACAATCATTTTTTATGAACAAAATATACTCCGCAGTCGTCTTTTCACTTTTTTTTTTTCTTGGCGTTAATTGATCTCGGCGGAAGTTCGGATATTTTTTCTCAGTATATTTTCCTTTGAATCAGTATGTGAGTAATCGATCATGAGTATTCTTCAAAGTCAATGTTCCTATATTTTCATTTCATATGCAAAAACCGTCACAAAATAGAATTTTAATTCCATATTCATGAATCCATTATTTTTTTTATTATTTTAGAAACAGTGCGGAAATCTTGGAAGTGAAAAGTGAACGGAGTCTGACTTGTTGGTAACTGATTTTTAGGGATTTATGTAGTATATTTTCAACTTAGGTAGAGATACAATATCTTGTATATGGATGATATTTTTGCAATAATTCCAGTTTCTTGTAGGACAAAGAAAAATTCTCATTTGTATTTTTACAAATATTTAGCAGACTAAGTATGTAACGATTTTTTTATGGAGCCATCGAGTTGTTTTCTTACGGAGCCATCCGCCTACGTGGCTCATACGTGGCAAACATGTGTATTAAAATATACCACATGTGTAATTTATTTTTATTTTACATAAATGAAAAAAAATGAAAAACTAAAGAAATAAAATAGAGAAATTTTCTTTAAAAAAAACGTTTGGCCATAAAACAATCTCTTTCTTTCTAGTTCATAAATAAAATATTATTTATAATAAATTAAATAAAATTAATGTATTTTTTTTTTCACAAATACATTGTGCTACTATTAGGGTTGCAAACGAGTCGAGCAGCTCGCGAGCCGCTCGCGAGCGCTCGAGTCAAAGCTCGACTCGAGCTCGAGTTTGACCGATCTCGAGTCGAGCTCGAGCGGCTCGAGCACGAACTCGAGTCGAGCTCGAGCCCATATATTGCATGGTCTACTGGCTCGCGAGCGGATCAAGATATGTGAAATTACTAAAATACCCTTGTATATATATGTAATTAATGGTTATTTTACAAAATTTCTTGAAAAAATTCGAGCCGAACTCGAGTCGAGCTCGAGCATTATGAATTCGAGTCGAGCTCGAGCTCTTGTATGTTTTGATCGAGTCGAGCTCGAGCACCAAAAATCGAGCTCGACGAGCTCGAGCTCGAGCTCGAGCACCTAAAAAAAAAAATTCAATCCGCTCGATAAGGCCAATGCTCGACTCGGCTCGGCTCGTTTGCAGCCCTAGCTACTATAATCAAGGAGACATCGAAGTATTTTTTTATAGAAATTTTGTCCTTTGTAATAGACATGCATAAAATGGCATAAATTAACACCAATGCAATCCGAAATTTTGATTTACATATTATTTGACCAATTATAAATCCACCATTCAAAGTTGCATACTGATAAATAATGAACTTATTTAATTATATAATCACATGAATGAATGATAAATGTAAATCTACATCAATCAAATTTAATTTTATCTATATTGAACTTATATGCTAAAATTATTTAAATTATTAGTATGTTGTGACGATAATTCAACGCCAAATCAAATCAAAACGTTGTTTACAATGAAGTATTTAATGATTTAAGAATTTTTTAATTTGTCTGACATGTTTACATTTGTTACATATATACCAAGTATATTAAATTTAATATTCAATATTAAAAAGGTTTTAAAAAAATGTATCATCCCGTGCATTGCACGGGCCACAACTAGTTTTAAATGTAAATCATCCCTATATATTATTCTCGAATGCGCTGAGCCTACATGGCTGATTCTGGTGCTTCGGAATCCTACTTGGCAAAGAATCATGCTTCGTAATTAGGTTTGGACAAATAATATTGATATATTAATAATTAATAAACTAATCTAAGTTCGGACATTCCGTAAATATTAAATAGCTAACTTAGGTATTTTAATATCACTTGTACTAATATAACCCTTTAATCCTTTGTAATTTTACATAGTGAGATATTAAGTGACTAATATATCCCTGACTTTTAATTTTTTCCCTTCTATTAGTATTTAATTGTAATAAACATGCTCCCCTACCCACGGTGGACACATGTTAATATGCCCACCAATGAATGTATGCCACATACGCGGTGGGCATATTAACATGTGCCCACTGTGGATAGGTGAGCATTTCTCTGTATTGTAAATGTATTAAAAGTTGATAACTTTTGTATTTTTTATCGTTTTTA